CCCCCCCCGAAAGGACCTCTGGTGTTATCAATGCAGTGGACATGAAGTTCAGCAAACTCCGGAGGATGACGGAGGACAGGAGGGCCTGGCATGATGTGGTTTATAGGGTTGCAAAGAGTTGGACTCAACTGTGTGACTGAACAACAAAACAACAAAAATTGTGTATAGAATAGCCAGGAGATCCTAAGATTGTCTGGCAGTCAGACTCCAGCTCTTTTTGCATTATGTACCACTAGGTGGTGAACTAGACTTGTTTTTACGGCAAGAGATATTTCAGAGGTGGTTTGCCATTGCCTGTCTCTGCATTGCAGCCCTGGTATTCCTTGGAGGTCACCCTTCCAAATATTAGCCAAGGCTATCCTGAGCTATCCAGGGCAGGGTAGGGCAGGGGAGAGGAGATTGAACTTTTCAACCCCTGTTTGGTTTAATTGATCAGAACTGGTCTCCTCATTTTGTGATTAGCAGGTTCAAATGTGGGAAGCCTGGTTTTGATTAACAAAATTGTTCAAGGCTCAAAGGGTTAAATCCACTGTTTCCTTCCCGCATGCGACCGAGACCCAATCCTGGCTGCATACACAATTTACTTTTTACAGCATAATGATGTGTTGTAATCTTTATAATACCTGTTTTGGCTCTAGGTATCAGTATAGAGAAACCAGTGTGGCCATCTCATGAACCGTACATTTGTATGTTTTCATTTTCACATTTTATTAGTTTTAATTAGAAGTGTTTTTTTCCTGTGAAAGTTACCGGGTTAATGGTCCCAAGAACTGATTTTTTAAAATAAAAAAGTAGTTCCAGGTTTTCGACTGCTACTTAAGTGTACCATTGGTATATCCTCAGTCTACTTCTGAGTGTTTTCTCTATGAGCCACTGGTGTTATTATAATATGTACACATAAAGAGAAAATATGTGTCTTAACCAGAGGTCATTTCGGGGGGGGAACGCGGGGGATCGCAGTTCTCCTCCGGCCCTCATTCAGCCAGGAGGAGGCAGGAGAAGAGGGAGGGTAAGTTGCTTCCTCCCTGCCTCTCCCCACCCCTGCCTGCCTGGGGCCAGGGAGGGCCTTCGCGGGGCTTCCTTGCACTCCCGCCGGCCTTGCAGGTCCACCGCCGGGCCCCTCATGGGGCTCGGCAGTGGAGCTGCAAGGCTGGCGGCAGCGGCCGGGACCATTGGGGGCGGGGTGTGTGGCCTTATGACACACTTCCGGTGATGTCAGGGGGTGTGGCCTTATCAGGGGGTGTGGCATATGCTAATGAGTTATGCTAATGAGTTCCCCTAGCTCTTTTTCTATGAAACGACCCCTGGTTGTAACATCTAGGTATATGTAAATATCTATTATATTTTTATCATGTCTTTCCTCTAAAGAGCTCGGGATGGTGTACATGGTTCTCTCCTCCACAAATGTAGCTTCACAACAGCCTGTGAGGGAGGTTAGTTTTACTGCCTGTGACTGATCCAAGGTCTGCCAGTGAGCTTCACAGATGAATGAGGGTCTCCCCGGACCAAACCTCTGAGAGCTATACTGGCTATGCACAGCTGGAGGTGTGTTTCCTTAGTCAAGTAGCCCTATTTTGAGAGTGACATTTACGCAGGCCTTCAGCCTCAGGTTCTGTCATTATAGTAAAATGAATTAAAGCCAGCCCAGGGCTGATCTTGCTTTACACCTTGGATTACCACGTTCAGCTCATCATAGATGTGCCTCAGCAGGCACCACACACAATTACTTATTTTTGGTTTACACATCTCTCAGTTTACCGTAGGTTGTTCGACTACACCTAGCACTATGAATTTGTCAGCTACATCCCTCGTTGCTGCCTAATTTCTGGGGTCAAATCTGTTTCTTACACAAAGGGGGTAAAAAGTTCAGAACTTCAACAAGGTTGCTGCTTGGTCTCATGAGGAGGGGCTTAACAAACAAGACGCAAGGCCCTGACCTGGATAGCCCAGGCAAGCCCGATCTCGTCGGAAGATAAGCAGGGCCGATCCTGGCAAGTACTTGGATGAGAGACCTCCAAGGAATACCAGAGTCGGAATGCAGAGGCAGGCAATAGCAAGCTACCTCTCTGAAACATCCAAGCCCCGGTACGGTTACCAGAGGTTAATCATGACTTTCAGGAACACACACAACAGCAACAACAAAGACATAACAACTGTAGTCAGTCAGGCAGCCAGTCAATTAGGGCTGCTAACCTCCATGTGGGGCCTGGAGATCTCCTGGAATTATAACTGCTCTCCAGTGTACAGAGATCAGTTTCCCTGAAGGAAATGGTTGCTTTGGCGGGTGAACTCCATTGCACTTTGCCTCATGTCTCAACTGCTGGTAACTAAGAAGGAAAGAGAATTTGAGCTCATGGCAGGAAATGTAAGTAACCTTAGAAGGTGGTTAGACAAAATTCACAGACAATAATGTCCATGAGTGGGTACCTAGCCATGATTGCTAAATGCACCTTCAAATGCTGAATACTGGGGGAATTGCAACAGGCAAACTAGAGTACCCAAAATATTCTCAACTGCTGAATTCTTGCTTGCAGTGCAAATATGGGGGGGGGCGCGCTCTGTTTGGGGAAAATGGGATTTCTAGTATGGGGGGGAGGAGTTTCTGTATGAATTTTTTCAACAACAAATTAAACTCTGCTCCCTCCAAAGGGCAAGAACTCATTGCGACCATTGAGGTGACAAAATCAAAAATGTAAAAATAATGAGGTGTTATAGAGCTGAGATGATTTTTAAAACAGGGAAATCTCTCATATTTCATGCAATTATGGTGTTCAGAAAAGAATTTTAAAAACACCTTCAAACGGGCATCCAGGGACCTCCTAGCCACAGGTTGTAGAGGGAAGTAGCTCCTAATAATCTATGCTCTTTGTTGTTGTTGTTGTTAAGAAAAGAACTACAAAACAGTGTTGCTCTAGTTTTTCCAGTTTAAAAATTACAACTAATGGATACTGCAGAGTGAATATCTGTGTCTACTGCATGGATTTAAAAAAAAAAAAAAACTGCACCAGTACATTGCCACTGCACTGTCAGCTTAGTTATGTGATGTCTTGCAGTTAATGACCCTCAAGTACATTATTCATTTGAAACATTTATTAGTCACCTTTCTACCTACAGGAACTCAAGGTGGCTTACAATGTAAACTACAACAAACCATAATAAAACACACAAAACTATTATTTTAAAATCAATAATTTAAAACTGCTAGTAGGCAGAAGAACTGAAGCGAATCAAATGCTGTCATGAATAAAACTGTCTTCAGTTGTCTCCTAAAGGTCAAAAGGGAGGGGGCCAAGTACACTTCCCCGGGGAGATTATTCCGTAATTGTGGGGCTGCCACTGTGAAGGCCCTCTCCCACATACCCACCAAATGAACTTATTTGATCAATGGTATAGTCAGGAGGACCTCTCCCTGTGATCTTATTCCTGGGCGGGAACATATGGGAGAAGACGATCCTTCAGACACCCACTCCCAGTAGGGCTTTAAAGGTCAAAACCAACACCTTGTATTGGTCTTGGGAGCAGACTGGAAGCCAGCTGTAATATTGGAGTCACATGATCCTGGTAACTGGCCCCAACCAGCAGTCTAGCCTCAGCATTCTGCACCAGCTGCAGCCTCTGT